CACATTCCCATCGATTGGATAAGAAAACACCCATGTCAGAGCAAATACAGAAGCGGGGCTGAGATTGATTTAAAATTCCCATGCTGGAATCCCTATGTATGATCTAGAACATACAGATCATCCGTACATACACATCCTAGAAATATAAAGTTTTGAGGAAATGTTTTCGACAATTATTACTGCGGATTTCTAATGGCTCAACTGCACGTGAATGCGGTTGGTGAGCGGTGTGTGAAGACGCCACAGAGTGGAGCAGAGGTCTGACAGGCACTTTGCAAACAATGTGGACAGTCAGCCGTCTCCCCGGGACAGGACAGGTTTCCCTCACGAACGTGTGTGTAGTGAAGACCAGAGCAGTGATCAGACTCCAGTGGGGAGGTTAGTTTTGTGTCGCAGAGCTGGGGAGACCGTTGTCGCAGGCAGAGAGTCACCAAGAAGACACAAAAGTAAGAGTTTACCCGGGAAAAGTGACAGAGGGCTCCAGGAAACGCACTGAAACTATATTGCACACCTTGCCTTCGCAGTGACTACGATCACCATAAATACCAAATGGGCTTCTCATCCCCGGGGGTTACAGCAGGACTGTGGTGGGTGGAGGTGGTGGCCTGGCACTGCCACGGGCTCCCTTCTCACAGCAGGAAGTTGACAGACACTGTCTAAAACCGATACATCAAAAACAAGAACAAATGAGCCTATCATCAGGAAATAAGGTGGAGAATTCTAGAAGAAATAGCTACAAGGGTCAAAAAATCACTTTGGGGAACAGCTGTAGAGGGTGAGAAGGTATTGGCATAAATTAGAATTTCGCAAAAGTAAAATTTAACTCTGGCCACAGCAAAACATCCCCATGACAAGTCAGCAGAAACAGTCTTTTTCTTTTTAATATTTTATTTATTTATTCATGAGAGACACAGTGAGAGGCGAAGACAAAGGCAGAGGGAGAAGCAGGCTCCCTATGGGGAGCCCAATGTGGGACTCGATCCCAGGACCCTGGGATCATGACCTGAGCTGAAGGCAGGTGCTCAACCACTGAGCCACCCAGGCATCCCAGAAGCAGACCACCCTAAGAAATTATCAGACTGACCAGAATGGAATGATGATTTATCAATTAAGACAAACAACTGTAGTGGGAAAGCAGACGGTCACATGCTGGAAATTCCAATGCTTTCTGTAGCCACACAGAGCATAGATAAACAGGCCAATATCTAAGTTGTGGCTTTTCCCAAAACTCAGCCATCCTTCCTCACTCCCCCCAACTCATCGTCCTCACCGTCCCTGGGCCTGCGCCTCCATTACCCTGCTGCTGGCCTTGTGACCCTCCTGCCAGCTCAGCCTGCCCTGGGATCAACGCCTCCCATACCGTGGGCCAATCGGGGAGGAGCCCAGAACCCTCTGGCCCTGGGCCCCCTACAGTGCTCCAGCACAGCCTTGGGAGGTGGTGACCCTTCCAGCTCCAGGGTCCAAGCACCCCTGTGTCAGAGGGAGGCACCCCGGGACAGGGGATACTACTCACCAGATACCAGCCACCATAAAAGCTGTCAGGGCCCCCTCTCCTGAGTAATCAGGGTGTTAACTGATACTCCCTCAATATTCACTTCCTCCTCCCACCATCAGCCTCTGGCAGCCTCCAAAAAACATTTCTGGTGGTTTCCAGAAATGGACAGATGCAGAGCGAGCCACTTCTGATTCGTTAGCCCTAATACTCTTCCCTGGACTGGTCTCGTCGGCCTCAACTAGATGTGACTGCACTTACGATGCCAATTCAACTTTTCAAGATCCAAAGGGCAAAACTTAACATAATTCATTTATAAAGACAAACAGGTTTCAAAGAATGCAAGCTAAATTTTTTTTTGTCAGATGAAACTATAAGCTCGTAGGAAACGTGCCTGCTAACGGAACACCAGAATGAATGAATGAACTTCTCCTTTCAAATCCGCTCCGTCTCCTTGTGTACTCATCTTTGCCTAGTCAAAAGCAAAACAAAACAAAAACCTTTTTTTTTCCCAAGTTTAAAAGAACTTATTGAAACGCAAGGTGGAAGAGCAAGAGATGAGACACAGTTAATTCAGACAATTTAATTCCAGGCTCTTCTAAGGACTTTGCCTTTTGATTTCAGTTGCTTTAAAAGAAAAAAAAAAAAGTTCAGTGCATGAACATTAAAAAAAAAGTCCTCTCCCAAGGGCTAATTGTTTCTCTACTCATTTGCACCCAAAACAATCCAGAAATAGAAGATGTTAAAACTTTGCAAATGGGGAGCAAGGGGGGAGGGTGAGGATAAAGGAAGAATTAGCTTGGATTGTAAAAAAGTGCTCTTCCATTCCTTAGGAACAGATAATGCAGAGACAGCGAGCCTGCTGTGGGGGGAACAGGAAATACTACTTCTTCCAAAAACATACTGTGGGCACAAAGGATGGCAGCAACCTCCCTGCATTCTTGCTCTAAAATCATCGATCTTGGGATCCTTGGGTGGCGCAGCGGTTTGGCGCCTGCCTTTGGCCCAGGGCGCGATCCTGGAGACCCGGGATCGAATCCCACGTCGGGCTCCCGGTGCATGGAGCCTGCTTCTCCCTCTGCCTATGTCTCTGACTCTCTCTCTCTCTCTCTGTGACTATCATAAATAAATAAAAAAAAATTAAAAAAAAAAAAAATAAAATCATCGATCTTGGGGCCCCTGGTGGCTCAGGGGTTGAACGTCTGCCTTTGGTCCAGGGCATGACCCCTGGGTCCTGGGATCGAGTCCCACATGCCCCTCTCTCTGTCTCTCGTGAATAAATAAATAAAATCTTAAAAAAAATAACATCATTTATTCTCACTTGGATCTGTATTGGGATGGTTATCATTGAAATTTCAATGAGGTCTTGCTCCCTGAAAAGGGGCAATTTGCCCATTTAATCACAGAAGGTATAGTTACTGGACAGGAGAAATGCAATTTATTTCCAAAAGTAAACAAAAGGCCCTAGGAGTCTCATATGGTCCCAAACGTCCTGATGCGTAAAACCCCTGAGAAATAAGGTTTTGAGGTAAGTTTTAGGGAACTCACTCAGTGACAACATCTGCCCTAAACGGACACACAGCTATTTATAGTGTGTTTATTCCACTAAATGCGACAAGTCACAGTGTCCCTGCAGACATATGAACGGGTGGGAGTATGGGAGGCCGCCCAGCATGTACCAGAGTCTCTAATACACGGCGACAGTGTGGACACGTACCTCTCTAAATTCTGAGAAATGTTTTTCTCAATGCTGAAATTTAGCTTCCCAATTTGAACTCTAAATTGTGAAAAATCCAGGATTCCAAAACATATCTTAGCACATGGGTTTTTGGAAAATAATTGTGGACGTGCTATGTGCTGCATAAAGTAGATACTGTACTAGGGAGTCTTTGGTTTAAAAGCAGAGAAATTTTTTTAAAAAGGAAAAATAAATAAAACTGAGAGGTCAGACTTGTGCTTAGGATATTAAATTAAATATGAGCCTAAAGAAGGTGAAAGTGAGTTATTTCTTAAATACAGATCTAGCAATAAGATTATTTGTCAAGTTCCTCCCTTAGCAGAGGTTAAGACCTAAAGTATATGCCTCATTTGTTTATCCTAGCTTAAAACGTTAAAAACATTCTAGTTACTAAGCATATTTGTAAAATCCTACCTATGAAAGCACTCCACATACAGAGACTAGAAATCCATTTCTATTTTACTGCAAAATCTCCTCTAAACATTACAAAACAAAAGTATAATGGAGATGGAACAAAATGACGATAAAAAATTTTAACGGAGAAGATTTCTCGTTTAAAACCCCTAGTACTCTACACCTTTCTAAAGGTGTTAGCTCAAGGATAAATATATTCATGCACAATAGGGACTTTTTTTTGGGGGGGGGAAGCAGATCAATGAATTCAGTTCTGTGTAATTAAAATGCTGCCTTCCTAGTGGCAATGAATTTCTTCTTACTAAAAAAAAAAAAAAAAAAAAAAAAAAAAAAGGCTTCAGATGCTAGAATCATTTCCATTCCTTCCAAGAATTCCAAGTCATCACAAGATGAACTCTTTTTTTAACTAGAAAATTCCGATGTGGGGCATCTCCAACTTTTAAACTACCCACTGACAGCGCTTCCAGGGCTTAAGGAAAGAACACCTGCTGCTCAAGGTTTGCTAGGGATCAACGGAATCTTTGGCCATTCGGTCAAACGGATAAAAAATAACCTGCAACACTGTCTCCAACATCAAAAGCCTCAAACCGTGACTTCTCCAGACTAGGTCTTCCTAGTTCTGGAACATTCGAATAAACCCCAAACCGAGTCGCCTCTGTACAGTTAGGCAGGCGGGCTGATGGTTTGGGAGCTATGCTGCCAAACTCCAACTGACGGCATCGCACTGCACTGGGCTCTCGGCGTCACCTACTAAGTCACTGTGCCCTGAAAACGCGTCTCAACGAGCGATCCTGCTCCATTTTAGGGGTGGCCCGGGAAGTTCCTTGTTTCTACACAACTGCTCTTTCTGTAGGAAAAGGCGTGCACGCGCTGAACCCTCCGCAGGCCCAGGAGCACCGGCACCTGGAGTCACCCACATCAACAAGGTGGAATTTCCCAGGGCAGCGATAAAATGGCCAAAGGACAAGGTGAGCCTCCGGCGTGCGCCCGCGGATCCGCGCCCCGCCGCCGGCACCTGCGGCTTCCGCACCCCCGCCCGCCCCACTGGCGCCCCGCCCCGCAGGCCCCGGCAGGCCCGACCCCGACCCGACCCGACCCGACCCGACCCGACCGGGAGTGCTCGGTGGAGGACCGAAGCCCGCAGCACCCACCCGCCCTGATTCCAGAGACTCACTCAGCCAGTCCCGCCCGAGGCCCTGAGCGCACCTGCCCCGCCGAGGGCCCGGCACAGACCCGGGCTCGGGGCGGGCAGGGGGGCAACAGGCGCGTCGCCCCGCCCCGCCCGCCTTCCCCTGCTCCCGGCTGCCTGGGGCTCCGCGTCCCCGCTGCCCGGCCCAGGGCGCGCGCCACACCTACCTGTGCCAGGTGAGCCGAGGGCGGGGCGCGGGGCGCGGGGCGCGGGGCGCGGGCCCGGACGGCTCGGGGCGCAGCACCGGACCGCGCGCTGCTCCTCGCTCCTCCCGCCGGAGTCTTCTCAGCGGTCCAGCGCGAGGCGCTTCCTCATTTTGGGCAACTTCCTTAACGCGCCCGGGCAGGCCCCGCACTTCCTCCCGGCCGCCGCGCCCCAGCGCTGGGGGCCCGCCCCCCCCGCCCCCCCCGCCTCCCCCCGCCCGCCCGTGCGCCCCAGCGACCCCGCGCCCCGCGCCCGCCCCAGTGCCCCCAGCGCCCCCGCGCCCCGGACCCGCCTACCCCGCCCGCCCGTGCGCCCCGGTGACCCCGCGCCCGCCCCAGTGCCCCCGCGCCCCGGACCCGCCTACCCCGCCCGCCGGTGCGCCCCAGTGACCCCGCGCCCGCCCCAGTGCCCCCAGCGCCCCCGCGCCCCGGACCCGCCCACCCCGCCCGCCGGTGCGCCCCGGTGACCCCGCGCCCGCCCCAGTGCCCCCAGCGCCCCCGCGCCCCGGACCCGCCCACCCCGCCCGCCGGTGCGCCCCGGTGACCCCGCGCCCGCCCCAGTGCCCCCAGCGCCCCCGCGCCCGGGGCCCACCTACCCGCCCGCCAGCCTGCGGGTGCGCCCCCCCCCCCCCCCGTGCCCCTGTGCTCCCAGCGCCCGGGGCCCACCTGGAGTGCCTGCAGGGACCCCACGCCGTGCCTGCTGCCCGTGCGCCCAGGACAGGCTCCGGGCGCCCCTAGTCCCCTGCGCCCTGCCTCCCAGGCCCAGAAGGCCCACCCCAGGGGTCTTCATCTACACACAAGGGGCCCTGCCTGACAGCAACAGGAACCTCTGGCCGCCTTGCCAACCTGCCACCTGGTCCTTTGAACCACCGGCAGCGCTAAAAGGGCGCGCCCATCGCGCAGGGCCCTGGCGTGGGAAGAGACTCTTGCTCACTGGGGGGCGGACTCCCTCCTGGTCACCAACCCAAGACGCTCCTGCTGACCTGTGACCCCAAGGCCCTCTGCACCCTGCCTTTAGAGTTAGGCTCTAGGCGCACATCGGACTTCACTGCGCTCTGCTGGATGGGCCCGGCTTGTCCCACGCCGTGTTTTCTGAGGGCTCTGGTGATTTCAAGGCTCTTGACAGTGAGCTCAACTTGCTCCCTTCGGCCCACAACCGGTTCTTATGCCTGGACCTAAGTAAATTAAGTTTAATATTTACCGTAGTATTGGGGCACCTGGGTGGCTCAGTGTGGAATGTCTGCCTTTGGCTCAGGTCCTGATCCCTTATTCCTGGGATCATGTCCCCTGGGGAGCCTGCTTCTCCCTCTGCCTGTGTCTCTGCCTCTCTCATGAATAAATAAATAATATCTTAAAAAAATATATTTACTGTAGTTTTATTTTTTATTTACTGTAGTTTTAAAAAAATATTTGTAAAATGCCCTATCCCCTCTCCTTGTTTTTCTATCAGGAAGCCCTCTTTAAAATTTTCCCATAAAACAGTACCCAGATCCTCAGATTCTTGGTAACGGGTAGCAGTAAGTGTTTTAAAAGGCTGTGCCCTGAGCCCCAAAAATCAAAGTGAAATATAGATTATAATTGCCATGGAGAAATACAAGCTGATAGGGAGTATGGACACTCATCACAGCCCCTCAGTCTTTCCCACCTGGACATTCTCTTCTATTCATTTTTAAGTCAAGTGAGGGATTTTTATTATGGTTCTATTTGATAAGCATTGGACTTAAATTTTGCTTCAAACAGCCAGTGAAATAGCCAGCATTCTCTAAACAGAAGCTGCAAAACATGTACACAGGAGGTTTCCAGAGTGGGTAATATCATTGGAAATGGACAAATGGGATTTGTTTTGAATCTGCATGAGAAGAACAAACCTGGTGTTAATGAAGATGATGAAGATGACGTGTTTCCCTAGGGGCGGCCAATGGCGATGAGGTTCTAGATCGGTCCCTACACAATGCCTTCCTGCACTGCTGTGTGGTCCCTCTCGCCTTTGGGGCATTTAAGTGACTGAGCATGCTTATGATGATTTTGGAAAAAAAAAGAATGTTAAAGTCATTACACAAATACCTAGGAAAAAAACCTTTCAAAAAGACAACTTCAAAATAAAAATTAAAAAAAAAAAGTCAATACATTTCTGCCAGTGTTTCTTCCTTCTCCCCATGGTCTTCTCCCTCCAATGTCCTTGCTGTTCACCCTTCACCCAGTAAATCTTAGCTGTCATTATCGTCTGAGTCCTGGATCCCCGCCTCCCCCATGAAACCCTGTACTCTGATGGTCTCTGGGACTCCCCACACTGCTACTTTTTAAAGTCTCCTGTTCCCTGCAGTATCTTTTATTTTTTTTTTCTTTAAGAATAGTAACTCTAGGGGTGCCTGGGTGCCTCAGTGGTGGAGCGTCTGCCTTTGGCCCAGGGTGTGATCTTGGAGTCCCAGGATCAAGTCCCACATCAGGCTCCCCACAGGGAACCTGCTTATCCCCCTGCCTGTGTTTCTGCCTCTCTCCCTGTGTCTCTCATGAATAAATAAAGAAAATCTTAAAAAAAAAAAAAAGAACAGTAACTCTATTTCCTGGTGTTGCTGTGTTCATTGACATCTGAAACCTCCTGTCTATTGGCCTTGTGTGTTTCCACTGGTTCTGGCTCATGGTGTCAGACTTCCTTGTAAACTTGGCTGCACTCACTGTGAGCCACTCGCCACCTCAGAAAAACTATTCGTGGACATTCATTGAGGCCTAGGAAGAAGACTTTTTCTTTCGGAGACAATTTGCCTTTGCTTTGGTCAGAAGCCTAGGGTAAAACTAATGTTTGGACAATTAAAAGTAAATTCTCAGCTTATGGTTTCTTTGGACCACCTAGGTGATAGGAATTTGGGCTGGAAATTTGAGCACAATTTTGGTCAACTTGTGGTTGCATGGTTGCAGTCTTTCAAGGATTCATCTCTTCCATTCCCTCTCTGTGCTTCCTCTCATATTCCTTGTATCTTGGAGTCTGTGTTTCTTGTTTTCCGTGTCTTCCTCTTCCTTGAGAGTTCACTGCAACACTTTGGAGGAACATGCTTTCCCTTTGTTTCCTGAAACTTTGAAAAGTTTCATATCTATCCAGAAGGTTCTACCCTCAAGTTCAATGGTTTGGATGGTAAAGAATTCTAGCTCAGAAACCATTTCTCTTTACAACTTTTAAGTCAAGATTCTCTGGGTTTCTTGCTTTAAGTGTTGATGTCAAGAAATCCAAACCATTCTGATTCTTTGTCTTTTCATTCTGATTCTTCATCCTTGCGAGCATAGCGACTGCTTCGCTCTTTTCACCTGCCCTGGCTTGGCAGTTTTCCCAGAACTTCTTTTTGCTCTCCTCCTCTGAGGGTGACGGTTCCTTGATCCTCACGGCAGATCCTTTCTCTTTCAGGGCCACAGTTTGAAGGTTTCATATTCCTTTCATGCCTAATTTTCTGTAACTTTTGAGCATAGGGGGATGGGCTTAGCTGAAGGTGAGGTGCATCAGTGGGAGGTCCCCCTACCTCCCTACCCCCACCCACAGGACACCGGGTTGGATGCAGAAAGTCTGCTTCTTGCTGGCAGAAGGAAAGGGAAGAAGAGCCTAGTCCTTTGGAGGCACCATTGGGCATCAGGTCAGTTCCCCAATTCTGTGGGCCGTGGCATCTTCGCACTTGTGACAAAGCTGGGCTGGAGCGCTAACACTTCTCTTTCTCACCTCATCCGCACCACGGCCATTTTCGCTACCCCGTAGTCAACAACTCCAAAAACTAAGAATATGTAATAAATCCTTTTATCCTATCAAGATTTGAGTGAGAGCTGTCAGGATTTTGTAGACTGATGAGATGTGGTTTCAGGGAGGTGGGAGTGTGACCTCACCATGATACTCTCTAACTTCCGTTTTTCATATGAGCTGAGTTCGTCTCACAGAGTGGTTCTCCTTTTCTTGTTTGGTGACTCTTGGTAACTTTTACACTTTTGTGTTCTACCCCTCCCTTTTTTCTTGGGGAGCAATGGGAGGGGGAGGGAGGGTTCTTTTTTCTTTTTTCTAGGTAGTTGGGCAGTGAATATTTCAGTGCCTTTATCCAGAATTCAATGACACACACATAGTTTTTAAAGATTGTATTTATTTATTTGACAGAGAGAGAAGGAGTACAAGCAGGGGGAGCTTGAGAGGGAGAAGTAGACTCCCTGTTGAGCAGGGATCCCAATGCGGGACTCGATCCCAGGACCCTGAGATCATGACCTGAGCCGAAGGCAGACATGTAACCGACTGAACCCCCCAGGTGCCCTGACCCACATTTTTAAACCATAGATGTACAGAATGTGCAGGTTATACATCATACATTTCATATTTAGGATGCAAGATCCACATTTGTCATCTCTTTCAAATTCAGAAACGCAAGTTGCGTGTGATCTGTTAAGACGGTTTAGGTTGCAAATAAAAGACTCTTCAGCTCTAGCTCTTGAAATCATAAAATTTTATTGGCTCACAAAAGAGTAAACTCCAGAGTTAGGATAGTATTAGGTGGATGGGTGAACTTTAATACAGATTATTTTAAGTTAAAAGAAAAATCACACAAGGCAGCATTTCACCATTTTAACAGTTTCAAGGAGGAAGGATACCTTTTTAAAATGAAATAATTCACTATCTTGTCTTATGAAGCAAGTTAATTTTGAGAAGTCAATGCTGCTGAATCTCAGCAATTTCCCACCAAGGGTCACATCTACTCATCAGCAGAACCGCTTTTACAGAACGTGGCAGGAGAAACATCATTCCTCTGGATCTCCTTCACCAATTCAATTGGGATTTAAAAGTGACCTTTGAGCTGCAAATGGTGGGCTTCCTTCATTTTCTGTTGTCAGTGAGGTTTTGAGAAAAAAAAGAAAAAGATAAAATGTCACTTAATGACTAAGGATAGCACTTGAACACAGATCGCATGGGTTTAAACCTAGTGCTAATGACACTGGCCAGGGCAAGAAAGCAGGGGCTCCTGTCCTGATATTTCCCTAGATGTGTGTGGCTCCTCTGTGTGCCTCTAATTTCTTGTTTTCAGTGAAATTCAAATCAGCAGACAGTTGCTGTGTGTCTATTCTTGCTAGGCATGATCTAAGCA